TAATTATTAGTATTCATAATCTATAATGTTTTTCAGACGATGACCCGTCTGTGGGAGAGGTCACTATGGCACTCATGGTAAAATAATGATTTTGCTGCTCTGGTGTTCGCTTAAGGTAACCGCACCACTCAAATTGGTTCCGGTGGTTGTTTTCGTTCTTTTTCTTTTCTTTTAGTGTGCGTCTCCAGAAATTCACAAACCCCTATCTCGAAAACCAAGCAAAAAAGGTTTGAGGCAACTTATTAATTCATGCGTTAAATGTAACTTCAATTCTTTTAAGGTTAGCTTTCATTTTTTTTTCTTTTCGTTTTTTTTTAATGCTTTATTAATTCAATGCCACAAGAACATGAGGTATTACATATTCACATTATCAAATTAACATTATTAGCTGCCAGAGGGGGGAAAAAAGGAAGAAAATTACATAAAGTTCAATGCTTTATTCTTTTAGGTTTAAATGCCACAGCAGGCCAACAAAGGTCATCGGGTCAAAACAAGGCTGCTGCAGTGGAAGGCCCAAAGGCACTGATCCTCTATTTGTTTAGTCATCTTTGTGGGTGCCTAATTTCAATTTTACTTATGAGCCTTGTCATCACAGAAACCTGCTAAGGAGACCCTACACAACAACAAGAGCACTGGAAGCATGAGGTAAACTTTTGTCATGTTTTGCTTTTCTGACACTTCTGGTCTTAAAAAAAAAGAAAAAAGAAAAAAAACAGTTACACTTGCAATCTTCGTGACCGCCACAGGAAATTAATCTTAAAATGAAAATATGAAAACAAAAATTCAAAGCAGTTTTTTTTCTCTTAAAATCAGATGAAGTATAGTAGTTTTTAATGATAATTAAATATCCAAATGCAAAACCTAATAATGTTAAGTCTGAAAAAAAAAACTAAAAGCAACTGGGGAATACACGGCTCTCTTTATACAGGGCTGTACAGGCATCTGGTGGTTACACCATGATATTATATATGATTTGCTTTATTTCTCTCACCAGATGTCACCAATCTGCCTTTGATTGCATTCCAAATGCCTTTGCTGTATTCTTAACTTTGATAAAGAATATCTCTTTGGTTTTGAGACTTTAGTCTTTGCAACTTCAGGGATCTTATCTATGCACAATCAGCTTGTAACACTCCAAAGAGAAAGCAAAACTTGAAATCGCATCATATGACCCCTTTAACTTAAACTGTTAATTGAAAATATGAACTTATTTTTTAGTATTTGTATTTTTCTGCAGTGTGGGGAATATTGTCTAGTAGCATGAAGTCATTTCAAAATATTACTTTATTATTTTTATTATTGTTTTAAAGCTAATTCCTTATGGTCTGATAGTGTTTATCAATTTTGATCCCTCTTTACTCTCATTGACAGGTGTGCATCAACTATTAGTGCAAAAATTACCCAAGGATAAGTTTCTTTTTAGAAGTGGATTGTGACTAAAAATGCTGTTTTTCTTTGAACTAACAGACAAACGAGTCGCTCCGTCGGTGATGAAATGATGGCTACAGCAACTATAGTAACTTCCCATGGAGAAGTGAGTTTGTGTATATCGCGACGTTTATTTTGCTCCATATAGCATTCATCAATGATCCTTTCCCACCTTTTCAAGACGCTGTTCCTTTCTGAAGACAATAAAGATGACATCAATGTCGAGTTGCTTGATGCGGCTGTAGATCAGATGCGAAAGATCAAGGTGAGCAGTTTAAAACCTGCATAATTTCAAGTGGCTGCTTAAAGAGGCACTGAAATGTAGCATAACCCGACATTTGTGATCTTTACAGGATCTAATGGACTATCTGTGTAACAAAGTGGGCCTCAATAACACACGCTGATGCTTTTTAATTACATCAGCTGCAGCTAGTGTTTAATCCTTTTTAAATGTAAATAAATAAACTATTGTAAAGAAATGCAATAAAGTGATTTGTTTATAATTTTGTCTGACATGCAATGTGATTGCCTCCCACCCAAGTGATGACTTAAAGCAACTTCGTTTAGCACTGCTGATTGTTTGCTGTAACAAATCAGACATTTTCAGTTGTGCTATTAGTGGTTGTCGGTGTCATGTAGGATTTCTTATATTAATTGAAAAGACTTGTATGCTATCATACTTTTAACACTAGATGGCGTTAATTTGCTTATGCACATTATCCTACTGTGCAGTTGCCCAGGGTTGTTATAGTGAACTAAAACCATACATTTGTTACTTGAAAATTAAATCAAGGTTAGCTGAAATATAAAACTTATTTCAGCTACATTTATCTTTTTCGTTTAGTTTAACTTGATGTACTAAAATTAAACTATATACGTTAAAATTATAGAATTACAAAAAGAAATTGCTAAAACTTTAAAATGAAAAATATGAACTAATATTATCACCATACTAAAACACCACTGCTCAGTACAGCCGTTGAAATGTCATTGTTTGCATTTTTTTTTATAATTTGATCCATAAATTTACATTCTTTTCATATATCGTTATCTTAAGATTATTAATTAGTGTTGCTTTGAAAGCGTAGCATCACTATATGTGCATAACTCATCCCGCACTGTTTGTGCTTTTGATTAATGGTAGTTATTACTTTAACTGTTGTGTGGAGGCTTAGTGAGTGCCACCAGAGGCCCCTGGGGGCCCCAGCTATATCTTGTGACAAAGATCGAGTGGGCTCTTTTCTTGGGAAATCTTCACTTTGGGTGGTGTTTTTTTTTATTTTTTGCTTTAAAATGTTGAATATGAATAATAGCTATTTCATTTAGATGATTATTGCTGTAGTTAACTCTTGAGTTTGATAATGTCGTTCCCTCACATAAACTACATTTCCCAGCCGCCCGCTGTCGCTGCACGTAGCAGTCACATTGCGGCTCGTGCAGGAATGGTGCTGAGGCAAATACGCACGAGCGCATCACAGCCTTACGGCAACACCCCGCTCGTGCATGCGCCCGCAACGCTGCGCACTACGTTTATTACCGATTTTACAAGACACAACAACGACTTGGTGCGAGGGCTCATTTCTCGATTTTATTAATTTTTTTTAAATAACTCCCCTCGTTGGCTCGAGCACTTGTGCACCGGGCGATTGAAAGATGTACGGAGCGCGCTGATGGCTGAGCGTGAATAACGATCTGGAGACATCCATGACATTGGACTCTGAAAAGGTCTGCGGATAACAATGAGCACCGGTGAGTGTGCTGGGACTGCATCGCGTATACTAATCTCATTACCTAAAAGCCCGCAGATTTGTCTGTGTCTGTAGGCTACTGTACGCGGCAGTCTGGTTCCACCCACCTATCCACCAGCGCTCATTATGTGCAGTGCATCCCTGTTTTATGGAAATACGTAATGTCAAAGGTGCAGAGAGGTTGTCTCTTTTGTTTTACGTGTGATGTGTAGCGTGGTCAGGTGTTCAATAAAGCCACAAGAGCCCATTGGTGACCTGCAGCAATTATTGCTAAGGGTCTTAAGGGATATGCTGCATTGGGCTTATTTTATTTTGGGAAAACTAAAAACTATTTTTTCCCCCCCTAAATCTCAAATCTGAAAGATGCTAAAACATTCAAATTAAATCAAGTGCATAGGCACGCTTTACCTGTTTTAGGAGCTCTGGTTCACTATGTGTAGTTTAAGTTAAAAGTCAGGGTGTTCGGCAGAACAGCTGATAATTAGAAGGATAATCCGCAATATCTCTGGTATTAGCTGATTTTGCTGTCAAAGTGGTCAATATCTCTGACCTTGATCAATATTGTCTGTAGTTAAAGGCTTTTTATGTGGGGAATGATGTTCTGTGACCTCGATTCCTGGGTTGCATTTCCCAAAAGCATCGTAATTCCAAGTAGACCGGTGAGACGTTGGTGCCAGTTCTGTTATTTATGTGGTGTTATTCTGTCAGGTTCATGAAATGGTTGCTTAATTTGTTCCTCCTCCTTACTTTCAGGTCAGCATATTTTGTGCCAGAAATTCGCCTCGTGTGAATCTGACTGATGTAATACCAGAGCACTAAATCATCATGGGAGCGACTTTGGAGTGAGGCTAGTACATTAGGGCAGTTCTCAACTAGGTTTAGTTCAGGATGCAAACTATTTTTATATCGGGCATGAAGTGCTGTCCCAACACTGTTTCAGATGTATTATTTATAAAAAAAAAATTCTGAACAAAAGTAAACAAATGTTCTTAAAGAGAAAGATTGAAAGTAAGCAAGAGTTTACAGCATGAAACCCTTTGCAATTGGCACAGATTTTTCCCATTTGCAGGTGCACTATTTATAATAAGTTTGGGTTGTGTATTATATTTTTATATTGCATAATTTTGTTCATAAATTTTTCATTGTGCATGCATTTATATTAAGGTGTCTTTGAGTTAAGGCTGCTCTGTGCCTGCTCAAAATTAGGTGCAATGCCAAACCGATCTCACGGCAATCGTACGTATTTTATGAGGTGGCTAATTCGTATGAATTCATACGACCTCACTTGTAAGAATTTGTGTGGTTTTGTGAAAAATCGTACGTATTTTATGAGGTGGCGAATTCGTACGAAGGACCACCCCTAACCCCGCCCCTTAACCTACCTCTCACAGAAATGCAAGGTCGGATGAATTAGCCACCTCGTAAAATACTTACGAATTGAGATAGCATTGGCAATGCTGTATAAAAGCCAGTCTATGTTGATCAGACCCACCTCAGCCCCAGTATCAAAGTATTTCCTGTCTAAATGCATTTATGCCACTGCTTAGCAGTATTAAAGAATGTGTGAAAAGACACATAAATGCCACTTCAGAAGCGCTCCTGTGCCACCTTTGCAGTGTAGATTTTTCATTAATGACAGATGAATTTGCGGTGAAGTACTTAGTTTGATTAGTATTTTGCTTTTTGTCATCAACCGTAAAAGATGTGAATTTTTCCTTTTTAAAAGTTGATAAACCTATTTATTTTGCTTTTCAAACTATGCATGATTTTGCAGTTAGTTGCGACCCACCAGGTGAGAACTGCTGTATGCAAGTTAAGACTTCTGCTATGAAATCTTAAAGAGATTTACAGATTTTGGCTCTTTGCAGAAACTGCAGACTGGATGCAACATTTTTGCAGCTGTTGGAAGTAAATAGAGAAATAGCTGGTGATATCACTCCTGCTACAGTAAGTCCCTGAGAAACAGGCTCTAGCAATTAGCCCTGAAATCTAGAGTGGGCCTGTGACATTTTCCTTGTCCTGGTTTTATTGGTACTGACTGTGAGAGGAATGGCCTCCAGCTTATTCATCAAACTCTAGCTACGGTAGGGTTAAAATAAGAAGGCTCATTTTTCATATAACGTGGAAGCTGTTTTCAGCTGTCTAAGGTGCCATTCTGACCTGCTGAAATCAGAAAGGAGACACAAATTGGATATCGTGTGTAAGAGAAAGTATTTGAAATGTACACCCTTGCCTTCTGCATGAACCCTGCTGGTTTTGTTAATTGAGCCTTGGATGGATGCATGCTGGGAGAATGCCATTTCATCATCAGCAAGTGTGTTTGAGGGGCATTTCAAGAACCGTATCGGTTGTATTTAATACACTTGTGCAGCATACTTTTTATTTTTTTTCCTCTCTCTCCATCACGTTGGCTGTCATATAGACCTTAGTCAGGGTAGCGCCGTATTTAATTGTTGACAGGAGTGAAATTGAGGCTGTGAGGGCAGAAGGGATTTAACAACATAACGATTGTTCAGCTGACGAAATGTCTTTGAGAAAAAAACATCCTTTAGACAACAAACTCCATAAAACAGTATTGAAAATTTTGATTTGGTGAAAATTGCATGATATAGGACCTTTTATACACGATGTGCCATTGTATGCGTATCCCTCACTGCCTCGTTTTCATCTGTTAAATTCAATATCACGTCTAACTTGACGAAGGTCTATGGGTCATTTGATGTGCATCAATGTGTCTGCTCAGAATACTTGGTTAATATTGTGCGTTTTAGATTTTCTCACAAACAGGTTTTCTGTGGGTCTTAAAAAGGCCCTTCCACAAAGTAAGGCCTTTACAAGGTCTTAAATCAGAGCAGACATTCTTAAATTCTCTTGCATTCATGCACTGCAAAAAATGAACAGTATTTTTGTTTTCCAACACAAAGATTTGTAAATGAAGTGTTTATGCTTAAAACAAGATAAATGTCTGTGGGGTATGAAAAATTTTCTCTTTTAAATAAGTTGATTTTTCGGAGCCCATTGGCGGATATTTGTTCTCGTTACAGGCATAAACTCAAATAAATTTAACAAAGCAAGACTTTTTATTTTATTATTTTGCTTCTCAAGCAAATTAATCTTGATTTAACATCTTTAGACTTGTATACATTTCCCTTTTTTTATTATTAATGTCATAATGTGTTTTTTTTCTATTATGTATTATTTTCAGTTATAAAATATGACTCATAATTTACACAAACGTGTACGTATAAGTTATTGGAAGATGTTATGTTAACCTGTCTTTTAGTCAAACCCTTTCTGCAGTCAGACCGTTAAAGGGGTCCTATTATGCTTTTTCACTTTTTTAATTTTAGTCAGAGTGTAGTGTGTATGTTTGGGCATAAAAAAGATCTAGAAAGTTACAAATCTCAAAGTCTACTCCAAAGGGAGATATTTCGTTTTTTAAAAATCCATTTTCAAGAACTACAACAAACGACTCGTTTGGACACCAGCGTTTGGTTTCCGGGCTTTGTGATATCACAAAGCGGCTCATTGGAATATCATTACAAATAATTCCCGCTTACAGAAATTCGAATGGTTGGGGGGTGGGGAGGGGCGAGGTTGTGAGCATTTTCCTTTTCATTTTACATTTACATTTTCATTATTTTATTGAACATAGCTCTGCTAAATAAAGTACTGCTGAATCAGTGTTGTTGAACAGATTGCATGT